CGTTTTCGGGGTCTCCCATTTCTTGATTGCTTCAACCTTTGCTGGGTCCACGTGTATCCCTTTCTCACCAACCACGTGCCCAAGAAAATGTACTTCTCGAATCCAAAATTCACACTTCGAGAATTTGGCATACAATTTCTGGTGATCTTCTTTGCTTCGGGAGTAGATTAGTAACTCTAGTATCACCTTTAAATGTTTCTCGTGATCTTCTTTGCTTCGGGAGTAGATTAGTATGTCATCGATGAACACGATTACAAACTTGTCTAGGTATGATCTGCATACTCTATTCATCAGATCCATAAATACGGCTGGAGCATTCATGAGTCTGAAGGGCATAACCATAAATTCATAATGTCCGTAGCGTGTCCTGAACGCCGTCTTAGGAACATCCATTACATGGACTCTCAGCTGGTGATATCCTGACCGTCGATCGATCTTAGAAAAGAAGCTAGCGCCTTGAAGCTGATCAAACAAATCGTCTATCCTAGGGAGTGGATAACGATTCTTGATAGTCAACTTGTTCAGCTCCCTATAGTCTATRCACATTCTGAGGGATCCATCCTTTTTCTTAACGAACAATACAGGTGCTCCCCAAGGTGAAGAGCTTGGCTGAATAAATCCTTTCTCCAGTAAATCCTGTATTTGGTTTGACAACTCCTGCATTTCTGCCGGTGCTAAGCGGTACGGTGCTTTGGCAACCGGTGCTGCTCCAGGAATTAAGTGGATTTGGAACTCGACCTGCCTTGGTGGAGGTAGTCCGGGCAACTCGTCTGGAAACACCTCAGGATAATGTCGTACTACCGAAATGTCCTCAAGTTTCATCCCTTCAGGTTTCTTTTCTGTCACCTGGGCTAAGAACGTCAGGTACTTCTTCCTCAAGTAGCTATGAATCTTCATACATGATACTATCCTAAGGCTTCTCTCAGGTGTTTCGCCTTGGACTATGAGTGTCTCGCCGCCTTGTAATGGAATCCTTACAACCTTCTCATAACAGCCTATTTGAGCTCTATTTAGTGACAACCAATCCATGCCTATAACTACATCGAAACTTCCTAACTCGATCGGAATGAGATCTATACTAAACAGCCTATCAGTTAGGCCTAAAGTGCAATCGGGAATTACATCACAAGCCTCGAACTTACGTCCGTCAGCCATTTCTATAGTGTACGCTTCATCTTGTCTTTTAGAGTTTAGGTGAATTAGGGTCTAAAGTCTAAGGAAACAAAACTTTCTATCGGCACCAGAGTCAAAAATCACCGATGCATAATGGTCGTTTAAAAGAAACGTACCTGTTACCACATTAGGATCCTGACGTGCCTCTTCAGCTCCAATCACAAAAGCCCTTCCCCGAGCTTGCATTCCCTGACTCACTGAATTGGTGCGACTTCCTTGACTACCACTGAGGTTGCTCCTCGGTCCTTTCCTCAACTTAGGACATCTGTCCCTAAAATGGTCCTGGCTTCCACATTTGAAGCATCTCTTCCTTTCACTATGAGTTTCTCCTTCCTTCCTATAGTACTGTCCGGTGTGTCCTAGCTGATTACACTTCGCACACCGAAGACAAGTTCCATGGTGGTGACGGTTGCACTTGTTACATTTTGGTAAGGAACCCATGTATGTTCCTTGCCTTTGTGCCCTTACTCCAAAGTTCCTAACTGATTGCGAGCTCCAGTTCGAACTACCGCTGGTCTTTCGTCCTAGTTGATCTTCCGGCTTCCTTTTCCCACCTATATTCACCTTGCCTACTGCTCCTACTCTAACAGCATCGTTGGTTAAGCGACCGGCTAAAACCACCGCGCTTTGGATGGTAACGGGGTTAGCGGATGTCACCATCCCTCGGATCTCAGGAGCCAGTCCCCAAATGTACCTATCAATCCTTTTCTCTT